ACCTATGACATGTGGCTGCAAGCATTCCTAGGGTTTTTCAGGGTCTTGCTCCTGCCTGAATGGATGACATTGGCCCTAGAGGTCATGGACCTTAACATCTTAACTAAAGTCATCCTTGGGAGCAAGTCTAAGGCTTGTGGAGGAAGGCCGAAGCAGTTCTTGGCACTGCCATTCATCACATATCAACTTGATGCAAAGGGGTTAGCTGATTGCTGCAAGTCCACATGGCCACCAAATTATGTTGCTCCCAAAATATTTAATAGAGGTTTATCCACAAGTTATTTATTTGCTTAGAAGTGCTTTCTGTATAGTCTTTTTGTGGTCTCTTGACTCTTGTAATTTCCAGATATACTCCTTTATAAAGAGAAGATTTGGATTGATCATACTTTGTTTTGTTTTGTTGGGTTTGAGCAGGGGATGTTTTCTTGAGACAGGGTTTTCTTATGTAATACTTGCTGGCCTAGAATTCTCTGTGGAGACCAGACTGGCCTTGTACTTGTATTGATCCTTCTGCATCAGCTTCTCAAGTGCTGGAATTAAAGACCTGAGCCACTACACCCAGCTGATCATGTGATCTTTTTAATGGAAATGTGGCATGACATCCTTCTCCCCGTTGATAAATGGAAGCACATGCCTTAGTTATATGTTTGCCTTATCCTAAATGTGATTGCTTAGGATGCACTTAGGATCTAAACAACTTCCTTGACTGCATTTATACTGCATTCATTTTATTCTTCTTTAACCTAATTTAAAATCACAAGGTCTAAGCTGATTTCCAAGTTACAGACAAACAGAAATGGGACAAAGAGAGCATGTGTGGAGTCAGGTGGGAGTTCACAGCAAGCTGTTTGCACATCAGCAGAGTGTGGACTCACTAATAAAGATAAATCTCTATTTATTTGGGCCTCCTTGTGTTCTTTACCATAATAGGCTTTGACCCTTAGGAGAAGCACCCTTCTCATGTTCAGGGAAAGTACGTCAGGGATTGGCAATAGTAGGGGGAACAAATTGTATACAGTGAAGTAATAAATAGTGTATGCATATTCAATACAAATGCAGTGATAGGCCTTGGTGAGGAAAGAAACATCAGTGTGTTAGAATGCATATTGGCTATTCTGTGAGCACATACCCCAGGCTAGCTTGAATTAAAAGAAAGCAATCTGCCATCTCTTTGGTTCTTCTCCCTGATTGAGGATGAGTTGATGTTTAGCTATGTTGATGGGATATGTGAACTCAAGCAACTCAACTTCATGTGGTAATCAGCCAGTGGGACATCAGAAGAAAGCTGGGTGTGCTGAACCAAGTTAGACACAACTTGCCCATCTCCATCAGGCTCCCTTTCTAAGTGGCTCAAGGAGACAGTGATTTTTGACTATGTGCAGTTTTGCCTTACTCTACCAACCATTAGGAATTACCTTTCCCACTGCCTTTTTCTCAATGGAAGACTGCTTAATTACTATGCCAACCTTTGAGAACCTTCTACATGACAGGAAGCTTTAATGTGAATTTTCTATGTCTAGTTTCCTTTTCCAAGATATATACATACTATTACATAAAACATCAGTTTGATGTCAAACTATATAACATGTTTGGATGGATTGATGGATTATAGGTGTGTACTACCATGCCTAGCTATGTCTTACTCTTAATATCATTTCCCCTACTTTCTCTCCAAGTACATTAAATTCTTGTATTCTGTCTCCTAAAGGCAAAAACTACCTGCCCTCAATGAAATTATTTTCTGTCACTAACAAGAACTGGACATAACTAACTTCTCAATAGCTAAAAAAAATTTTTAAGGTCAGGGGCTGGAGAGTTGGCTAAGTGGTTAAGAGCATGACTGTTCTTCCAGAGGACGTGGGCTCAATTCTAGGAACCCACATAGCAACTAACAACTGTCTGTAACTCTAAGATCTGACACCCTCACACAGACATACATGCAGGCAAAACACCAGTACAAATAAAATAAATTATAAAAAAAATTCAAGTCAGCCAGGGGTGGTGGTGCACTTCTTTAATCCTAGCACTTGGGAGGCAGAGGCAAGTGGATCTCTGTGAGTTCAAGGCCAGCCTGATCTACAAAACTGAGTTCCAGGACAGCTAGGAACAGCTACACAGAGAAACCCTGTCTCAAAAAAACAAACAAAAAAAATTAAAACCAAGGACTAGCTTGTCGATAGGTCTGATGGCCATTCTTGGTGTCAGCTTGACCACATCTGGAATTAAATAAACTAAGTATCTGGTACCTGTAAGGGAGTTCTCTCTCTCTCTCTCTCTCTCTCTCTCTCAAACTGAGTTCCAGGACAGCTAGGAACAGCTACACAGAGAAACCCTGTCTCAAAAAACAAACAAAAAAAATTAAAACCAAGGACTAGCTTGTCGATAGGTCTGATGGCCATTCTTGGTGTCAGCTTGACCACATCTGGAATTAAATAAACTAAGTATCTGGTACCTGTAAGGGAGTTCTCTCTCTCTCTCTCTCTCTCTCTCTCTCTCTCTCTCTCTCTCTCTCTCTCTCTTCTCTAACTTATTAGAATGACCTACGGGCTGCAGTCCAGTTAGTCCAACAATGGTTGTCTACCAATGGAAAGTCTGAGAATCCAGTAGTTGTTCAGTCCAACTAGATGGATGTCTTAGATGGTCTTCAGTATACACTGGAATCCCAAAGAAGTAGGCTATAATTCCAGTAAATCAAGAGTGAGAATAAGCAGGCAAAGAGCAAAAGTGTCTGTCTTCTGTGTCCCTGATATAGGCTGTCATCAGAAAGTGTGGCCCAGATTAAAGGAGTATCTTCCCACCTCAAAAGGTATATATTTCCACTTCATATTCAATAATTAAAATGATTTAATTAAGAAAAATCCCTCAGCTAGATGTGGTGGCCAATACCTTTAATCTTAGCACTTGGGAGACAGAGCAGGGTAGATTATTACCACATTGACCCCAACTGAAAGCGACCTCAAATTTAGGGCAATCTTGGTTTTCAAAGTAGAGGAAATATTTTAAATTTCAAAAATGTAATCCATCATACAAAAACATTCTGTCCCTTGACCCTTGAAGAATGAGACAGTTCTTGCCTCTCAGCTTTTCAGTGCTGAATGAAGTTGGAGTAGATAACTATAATTAAAATTCATTTGTTCTCTTAGCAGCCTCCTCATACCAGTTCTTTTACAGCCTGCAATATGACTTACCTACCATCCCAAGAGTTAGGATTTGGATCCTCACCATCATTCTATGCCGTGTGACTGATCGACTTATTTGGAATGATATAGTCCTATCATTCTGATTTATCTACATATTGAAAAGGGTTATATTTCTTTCTTGAAAAATACCTTTAGTGACAACTTTGAGTAGGAGTGTACTTTCTTACTGTCTCTATTACCATACACTTACTCTTTCTGGACACTTGGACAGCTTGCTCATCTCAGAATTTGCTTGGCACCATGAAGAAATTGAAACTAAGGTTTTTTGGAATACCTTTATTTCATTTGCTGAGGCTTGCCACACTTAGGAAAAGTCTCAGGTCTTGAATTGAGGCATTTGTTTCTAGCAAAGAGGCAGAAAAGCCAGACCATACACATTAAGACTCAAGCAACCTGTGTCTGCACCACTCTGAATATCCCAAGTAAAGCCACTTAGAACCTAAAGCTACATGAGAGAGTCAGGGAAGAATACCTCAGGAATTTGGTGTTTTTGTCTCTCTCTGGATTTTCTGGAGAGAAACAAGGATGGAAATTCCTTGGACAGAGTCATGTGGCTGGAACTATAGTCTCTTCCAAGAGTCTACATCAGAACAGCCAAGTCCTTGGCTAGGAGGTAGCATACATGGATTCAAGAGCTGGAGAACCTCCACCTGCCTGTGCAATGTAAACAAGCTGTGTGATACTCTTAGGCAGGTTCTTTCCTCTCCCTGAGCATCTAGATGGTGGGGACAACTATTTCCAGGCACAGGAGTGAGCAAGTTAGCCACAGGCTTGGGCACAAAACCTTCGTACAATATGCAAACAACAATTAGGCTACTCTCATCTCAGAAGTTAGCCCATTCATGTAACTGATAGAAAAGCAATTGAAGCTTAGCTGGGAACTGTAGTTTAGTGGAGTGCTTGCCTAGAGTGCTTAAGGTCATGAGTTCAATCCTTGGCATCAAGCAGTAGCTGAACTCATTGACTGACTGGAACCTAATTAGCACCAGTAAAGTAGAAGTAATGATAATCCTTACCTCCTAAGGTTGTGTAAGATGTGTGGTTAAAATATATTCAGTGGAGGCTGGAGTGGCTCAGTGGATTAGAGCACTTGCCGCTCCTGCAGAGGTCCTGAGTTCAGTTCTCAGAACCCACATGGCACCTCACAACTCTTTGTAACTCCATTTCCAGGGGTCAAATTCTATCTTTGGACCTCCTTGGACACTTGTACTCACATACACATAGCCACAGTCAGACACACACACACACACAAAGTCTTAATAAAATACACCAGGAACCTTAAAAAAAGAATTCAAGCCCTTCTAAACCTTTGATGGAACCTTGATGACTATACACGTGTGTCAGTCAGGGAAAATGGTGACTGAAATTCTGGGACTGTTATAGCAAAACTCAAGGTGAAGAAAATGACCCCAAGCAAGCTTAAGTCAAGTGGCCACAAGTCTAGGCAGCTATCTGATTTGGGAGATATTACCTTCTCATGGTTTCTGCTGCCATAAAATGGTGACAATAATAATGATCATAACCTACTTTATAGGACTGCTGTGACATGTCAGGATCTATTGATTATTAATCTTTTTTTGAGACAGGGTTTCTCTGTGGCTTTGGAGGCTGTCCTGGAACTAGCTCTTGTAAACCAGGCTGGTCTCGAACTCACAGAGATCCACCTGCCTCTGCCTCCCGAGTGCTGGGATTAAAGGCGTGTGCCACCACCACCCGGCTGGCTCTATTGATTATTATATCATCATCACCTTCAAACAATTCAGGAAAGAAAGGCTAGTTGTAATGGAGAATGCCATTTACTCTGTTTTGAGACACCTGCCATCAGTTATCCAGCTGGCACAATGAGGCCACGCCTCGGTTTATCCAGTGCTTCTGGGGCATGTTTGTTGGAAGTTCAATGGACAGGACGTAGTTAGTAGAGTGGCCAGTAGTAGAGAGGGTGCCTCTGCGGGCACTTGTCTTATATACTGGACACACGTAAATGTCCTGATGCTGGAATAATGCACTATCCCCAGGTTTCAGCCAAATGATGGGCAATGGGTCATAGAGGATTTTGGGAAGAGATTCTCCAATCTGCATCATTTTCCTGTCCCAACGTGCACCTTCAAGGAAAAGCCCTTTGATGTAGGCCCCATCTTCTGGGTTATTCTCCATAGTTGTTTCTTGTGTGGTTACCTGAAAGAATGGAAAGCTGTGAGTTTCATAATCTGATAGATTTCTTACATTTGCTGATAATAGAACCACCTGGCTGCCAGGTCTGCCTCTACCAAGAACTGGGCTTCTGTGATGAGTCTTATCAGATGTGAGTCAAGTCTGCTTCCTAGGCAGCTTCCTGCTGTTATATATGGTGGGGACAGAGAATGCATAAAGTGGGAGTCAGGAGGCCACACTGTAGCTTAGTGACCTTACATAATTGCTTCTCCCTTTGAGGACCTTGATCTAGGATATAAAGGATTGGATTCAAAATCAGAGGCTAGCTGATTAAACAGTTCTGGGGTGAGAGGTGAAGTACTTAAAATTTTTTATGTACTTAAAAAAGAAAAACAGTTTCTGTGGTTTAAAGACTTGCTCCAACTAAGAACCAGGTCATAGAATACCTGAAAATGCAAAGGACTGGTTCTGAGGAGCTGGTGTGCTGGTAGGTTTTCAATGTCAACCATGCCTCGGTGAGGGTTGCTCCATTGGGCTGGCCTGTGAGCATGTCTGTGAGGGACTGTCTTAATTGAGGTGGGAAGGCCTCTGAACATATGTAGCATCATTTTCATGGGTTGGGCCCTGGACTGTATAAGAAAGAGAAGGCCTCGAACTCAGAGATCTACCTGCCTCTGCCTCCCAGATGCTGGGATGTTTGAGGACAGCCTGGTCTATAGAGTGACTTCCAGGATAGCCAGGGCTAAGCAGAAAAACCCTGTCTTGAGGGAAAAGTGGTGGGGGTGGGGAGGGGCAATAGAGCAGGAACTGAGTACTAGCAAGCAGGGAAGCATCCATGTGTTTCTCTCTGCACGTGAAACTGCGAATGTGATGCCTTAAGTCAGAGGTGCTCAACCTGTGGGTCTGTTGGGGGTGGGGGCACAGTGTCAAACAGCCTTTACACAGTGGTCACCTAAAACCATCAGAAAACACAGATATTTGTATTGTGATTCATAACAGTGGCAAAATTGCAGTTATAAAGTAGCAACAACAATAATTTTATGGTTGGGGGGTCACCACACACGAGGAACTGTATTAAAGCATCACAGCATTAGGAAGGTTGAGAACCACACATGAGGAACTGTATTAAAGCATCACAGCATTAGGAAGGTTGAGAACCACACATGAGGAACTGTATTAAAGCATCACAGCATTAGGAAGGTTGAGAACCACTGCCTTAAGTTCCTGCCTTGACTTCCTTCTATGATGGAGTATAACTTGGAATTGTGAGCCAATCAACCCTTTCTGCACAAAGCTGCTTTTTCTCAGGGTGTTTTGTCACAGCAACACCAGTGATAAAGAGGTGATTCCTTGGGTTCCTCCCTTTAAAACAGAAAATGGTCTAAGGATAGTAGGGAATGATGGCTATCATGATGGACCAGAGGGTTGCAAGCTCCATTTATCCTCATTGTAGTTGTGAATGGAATGATTTTTCTATTTCTAAGGACTATTCAAAGACCTTCTTCCAAGTGAGGATGTCAAACAGACAGGGGGAGGAGGATGCTTCCCTTTGGAAAGATGAATTCTTTAAATAATATTTAATTGTGTGTGTGTGAATGTGGATATCAAAGGCGAACTTTGCAGAGTCAGTTCTCTCCTCTCACATTCATTTAGGTTCCAGGGATCAAACACAGGCTACCAGGTTTGCATGCAGGCCCCTTTGTCTGCCATCTCACTAGCACCAAATTCCTTTTTCTATACACAAGAACAAAGGCTTGAGAGTGCTGTGATCATATCAAACATAGCTTCTGGAGCTAAGTATTTGCAGGTACAAGGACGTGAGCAATACTATTTTCTTAGGTTGATTCCCTGAGCTGTCCCAACCCAAGAGATCCTTACCTCAAATTCAAATCCAATGTGGTCAATGGGGATGGTGTATTTTCTGGCATAATTCTGAGAAACTCCCGTCAAAAAAGACTGTGTAAAGTAGAATCCAGAGATCCAAAAGACCACAGGAGGCCCATTAGTGATCCAGTCCTATAAAGCCATAGAAATCAAAATTGAGAATCCACAGTGAAACATCAATAATAGATTAAATCAAGGTGAGCATGGGACTGGAGAGATGGCTCGGTGATTAAGAGCACTTGATGCCCTTGCACAGCACCAGAGTTTAATTGCTAACACCCATGTCAGGCAGCTCATAACCATCTCCAGGGATCCAGTTCCATCTTCTAGCACCTGCACACACATGTGTACAATAAACAGACAGACAGTAATGCATAACAGACCAGAAAAGACAGACCAACAGACAGACAGACAGACAGACAGACAGACAGACAGACAGACACACACACACACACACACACACACACACACACACACACACACACGTAATAAACCTTTTCCTTTCTTTCCTTTAAGATAGAGTTTCTTTGTGTAGCTCTGGCTGTTCTGGAATTTACTATGTAGATCAGCCTGGCCTCGAACTCAGAGATCTACCTGCCTCTGCCTCCTGAATATGGTAGTTAAAGACATGTGCCACCACCACCTGGCAAAATTTTATGTGTGTGGGGTTTTGCCTGTCTGTGCCCCCAATATATATGACTGGTACTTGAAGAGGCCAGAGGTGTCAGATTCCCTGGCACTGGAGTAACAGATAGTTGTGAGCCACTATGTGAGTGCTAAGAATCTGGATCCCCTGGAAGAGCAACTGGTGTTCTTAACCTCTGAGCCATCTCTCCAGCCCAATGAAATACTTCTTTTTTTTAAAAAAAAAAAAGACTTTATTATGTATACAACATTCTGCTTCCATGTATATCTTGCACACCAGAAGAGGGCACCAGATCTTATAACAGATGGTTGTGAGCCACCATGTGGTTGCTGGGAATTGAACTCGGGACCTCTAGAAAGAGCAGTCAGTGCTCTTAACCTCTGAGCCATCTCTCCAGTCCCATGAAATACATCTTAAAAGAACTAAGAGGAGTATGGAAATAAGCCTCACAAAAATATTCTTTGCTTTTTCATTTTCTTGAAGCAAAGAGTCCTCTTGGTTTAACTCGTACTTTCTTACTTTTGAAACAAAGGTACAAAAAATGTATTTCTACTTTAAGCATGGGTGCAAAGTTGATACTGGGAACACAGTAGGGAGTGGTAAAGACTACAGCAGGGAAATATATGTCCTCTCTGTACTGAACAACAGCTACCATTCTCAGCAAGAGAGGCCATGTACTGATGCTGGGACATTATTTCAGGTACTGATGCTGGGACATTACTTCAGGTCTTCTGCATTTTGTCGGACAAACGTTTAGCTTTATACCTGCCCCACCCTCACCCCCAATGTGGGATTTTTTTGTTTGTTTTTCTTTATTTTTCTCGCACTAGAGGTTGAATTTAGACCTCAAAAATGCGAAGCAAGTACTCTACCATAGAGCTATAGCCCAGCCCCTATGTGTAAAATTCCAGTGTCTATATATCAGCTCAAAACGTTTCACAACACTAGACAGTCTTAATAAATATATCCATTGGCCAGTTATGCCCCATAGGCCTCCAGCTTGTGACATTTTTTTTTCTAGTTACTACTCCTACTACTGTAGATTAATATCTCCAAGGACTTTGAAAAGTCTCTCCCTCCCCACTGACCCAAGTCTGGAAAGGCCATTCCCAAATACCCAAGCCAGGATGCTACACTGCTGCCAGCCCTCCTGCCAACTTGTATTCTGCTATCTCAGAATGTCATCTCCACCTGAGAGAGCACACCAGGTATCCAATTACCCAGACTCCCAGGTACCTGGAAAAAGGTCAGGCGGGCCAACAGGTCAGCCACATAGCCTCCCAGGGGCTTCAGTGATGGGTAGGACTTGGCGGCCCACATGGCTGGCACTTTACCCACAAGCATACTATTGAAGACATCCTCCAGCTCTGAGGACATTAGGACTTGCCCTTTGATGGCACGGCCAATATCAATAAGGCTTCTTCGAACCACTTTGGTCAGCCTGCAAGGATAAAGGAGCAGGCTGAGCCTGGCTTTTCAGAGTCCTTCTACCCAAGTACACTAAATGTGTTTCTTTTATCTTTCTCCTGGTTCAAAGGTCAATGATATAAGAGGCAGATTTAATCACCATAACACTGGCACCTAAAAATAACTTCAATGTAGATCTTTCTTGTTTCTTTAGATACACAAATCATGTTTTTAATGACTTCTGTATTACCTTTCTGGAATCTGTCTTTTCTTTTTCTTCCCCTTTTTTTTTTTTTGTTTTTTGGTTTTTTGTTTTTGTTTTTCGAGACAGAGTTTCTCTGTATGGCTTTGGAGCCTGTCCTGGAACTAGCTCTTGTAGACCAGGCTGGACTCAAACTCATAGAGATCCACCCGCCTCTGCCTCCCAAGTGCTGGATTAAAGGTGTGAGCCACCACTGCCCAGCTTGGAATCTGTCTTTCTTTCTTAGCACACAGTGAAATCTTTCCAATTCAGTGAGTCCTGCCTCAGTCTCCCAAGTGCTGGAATTGTAAGTATGGACCACTACAACACAGTTTCTAAGTTGTCCTGTTGCTGTTTTGTGTGTATTGCTGCATGCATGTTGTGAATATGAGTGTGTGCACATGCGTAGAAGCTAGAGGCTGATTTTGGGTGTCTTCCTCTATCACTCTCCACCTCACTTTTTTTTTTTTTTTTTTTTTTTTTTTTTTTTTTTCTGGAGACCAGGCTGGCCTCGAACTCACAGAGATCCGCCTGCCTCTGCCTCCCTAGTGCTGGGATTAAAGGGCTGCGCTACCAACGCCTGGCCTCCACCTCATATTTTTCTGTAACTGCCCTGGCTGTCCTAGAACTCACTTTGTAGACCAGGCCAGCCTTGAATTTACAGAGATCCATCTGCCTGCCTCTGCCTCCCAACTGCTGGGATTAAAGTCATGAGCCACCATGCCCAGCTAAATTGTCCTTTTTAATGCCTTACAACATTCTATTTTATTCAACTGTTCCCCTACCATTGAAATATTTTTAAGCTGGGCATGGTGCCACACACCTTTAATCCCAGGATACAGGAGGCAGAGGCAGGTGGATCTCTGAGAGCTCAAGGTCAGCCTGGTCTACATAGTGAGTTCTAGGCAACCAGGGCTATATAGTGGGATCCCGTTGAAAGAAAAAGAGAAAGAGAGAAAAAGAAAGAAAAGAAAATTATTTGTAGGTTGTTGCCATTTATAAACATTACTAGAAAAATCCATTTATATATGCTTTTGTGTGAATTTCTAATTGCTTTCTTAGTAATAGTTAAAAGTACCTAGTACCTATTCAAATTTGATAAGAGTACCTATGATTTAGATCTTTTAATCCACATTGCCAAAGTTGTTCTTTTTTTTAATTTCTAAGTCTCAAAGTTGTTCTTTTTATAACCAGGTGTATACCTGAGAAAGGGCAACTGAAGGGCAGTCTGCAAGTAGGCAAGCCTGCCTCTTTCTGACTTCTCCATTCTGAGGCCTAGTTCAGCCCAGAGGAGTTCAGCTGAGTATGAAAAACAAACAAACAAAAAACAAAAAGCAAAAACCTTCCACCAGAAAGAGCTTGTAGAATCTCAACCCAATGGACAAGAGTATGAGCAAATAAAGAATTTTGTATCAGGATGAATTCAAGACTCAGATGCATGAGCTTGCTGAGGAGTCAAGAGGCAAAACTATTGCCTGAGGGACTGTATCACAGATCTCTAGTACACCTAAAAGACATAATTACAGTTTTTCAATTGTCCTATGCTATTCTGTTCTTGAAACTATAACCATTGTTAGGTTCAAGTTTTTAGTACTCAAGGAATACTTGCCCCAGAAGACACAGTCACAGACCCCTGAATCAGAAGCCAAACAGTCACCTAACCATTTTGGACTTCCCTTGTCACTGGATGCATGGAAACAGGTAAAGTGAAAGTATGCTAGAATACTACTGAAAATGGGGGTTTATTATTGCCCTGTTCTCTGCTATAAGAACAGCATTGATAAAGGCCAGTGAAGATCCTGGCAGCCATCAAGGAATGGCCCTGGTTGTCTGAGGCGAGACCAAAACATAAAAGGGAAGGCGCTAGAGCTGGTGTCTGGATCAATGAGGACTTAGCTCATCTTGCTGAGTTTTCTTGACTGTAAAGTGGTGGTAGAAATGAATAATGCCATATCACACTAATTGTGTATGGTTCTAATGCGATCTATGAATAGCATTTGGAGCCATACCTGACACTAGAGGTTCATTCAAAATAACTCAGATGACTTCTGCTTTAGTTATGCTTGGTATTGATTTGAATTCGAGTCATGCGAATGAAGGAGAGAAAAAGCAGGAGTGATTTAATATGTGGCCAACATATGCTGGGGTCATTGTATTTTACATCTCTCCCCTCAGGCAGGACAGCTTTCTCTGCAAAGCAATAGCTTATCAAGTGTCCCTTTTAGTTACTACTACACAGGTTCCAACTTTCAAGATCCAAGCAAGATCATTAGGCCCACCTGTTGAATCTGATGAGTTCCTGCCTTAGGACAGTATTCATAGACTCGTTATAGATCACGGGGTACAACCTCATTACCTCTTCCAGATCACAGTCCATGGGAAGCTTGGACAGTACATCATGGGCCAGCTCTTCAACCACTTCCTTTAAGTATAGACAAGAGAGAGGGAATGAGAAGTAACGCCAACAGACAGGGGGCTCTATTTGGGGATGCATTGGTCCTTCCTGGGAATTTTTTCACAGAAGCCAATTCTGCCTTTGGGGGGAAGGAAGGCACTCATTAACTCACCATCCTTGGCGAGGACATCACTCCTTTGTCCAGAATGTGAAAATAATGAGCAATGACAGCCCTGTCGTTGTAGCTGTGACCAGACAGGGCACCCTTGATCAGCCAGGTAGCCTCAGGGAAGTACAGAACACTGGCCTTATCTTCAAGGTCACCCCCAGTGAGAATCCCCCACAGCTGTCATAGTTGGGAGCTCTTTCTCAATGCTAGTGACACTTGGGAAGGTAATAGGTCAATCTTTAATATTGAGCAAGACAAGCTTGTGGCACTGGGATTAGTCAAGTAGGGAAGGGGACAAATCTAGTGGACCAAAGAGGACAGACTGTGAATATGGCAGAGCCACAAAGCTTCCCTACCCAGTGGGGCTGCTTAACTGAAAATCAATTTCCTTTCCTACTCTATATCAAGACACCAACCAGACTAGTGTGACCATACCAATTATACCACTCAGAGTAAATGAGCTGGTCAGGAAGGTTCAAACCTGACAACTGTTGGATGTGAGGCAGCTCAGAAAGAGGAGAAGGGGAAGACAGACAGGCAGGCAGGCAGGCAGGCAGGCAGACAGACAGACAGACAGACAGACAGACAGACAGACAGACAGACAGAGAGTCAGACAGGAGACACAGTTCTGAGTCTGGCTCTCCCATTGATTTTATGAAGAACATGAAGCTGGCTGGCCACTTCTTTACAAGGTTCATTTGAGAAAGGTGATTTGTTTTGGTTTTTGTCACTTGTATACTGAATAATGTAGTCTTGGCCAGTGCTTCACTAAGTGTGCACTGTGACTGCTAGAAGTTCTGTGGTTGTCTCCAGAACACAGAATAAAAAATGTTCAGTTACATGGTGGGAAAAATTATCTTTTCAGGTTTTGATGTCTTTCTCTTTCCATTCCTTTCAAACAGAAGGTCTCAAACTGGTGCTACTTTGACAATTCTCTAACCCTCACAGATCCCTCCTTCCTTTTAACAAGAAGCCAGCAAGGCCTCAGCTCTAGGACTTTGGCTAGCAATATCACTCAGGAAGAACTTAAAACACAGTTTGTCTTCTTTTCTTCCTTCCTTCTTCTGACCCAATCACAACTTAATGAAAATTACATTGGGTCTCCACTTACGGTTTTAAATTGCAATTGTTAAATATTTCTAAGCAAAAGTACATTTAGCTATAGGGGCTTTATGATATAGAAAAGTTCATGAAATTTTTTGTTGTTTTTTTTTTTTTAAAGAAATAACTGGCATTTTGGAAACTGCTTTCTTTATGTTCTGTGTTTGAGGACCTGGCAGTAGGGCCAAAGTGCCTTATGCCAGAGATATATGCCAGACCTCCATGTTCTGCCTTTCTGATTATTACCCACAGTCTCAAAGGCCTACCTGATGGAAGCCTGCTTACCTGTGGGGATTTTCCACTCCCTCCCGACTGTCTTGGGAGGGTCAATAGCACTCCTTGGAAGAGCTGATTGGTTTCTTGGTTGTCCTTGGTGATGTCAGCATTCTCATGGAGGCCAAATACTCCAGGGTGTGCTGTGATGGGGAGGGTCCTGAGATAATCAATGTAGGACTAGAAAGGAAATCAATTGTTATCAATGTAGGGACCCTGGGGTCCAAAGGTGACTCAGCTTGCCTAAGCCCATCTCAAAAAGAAATCACATTGTATCAGTAACATTGCCTCCACTTCCTATCCAGGACAGGTACATAAACCCCAGGCTATTCTTCATACTGTTTTCTGGTGAGTGTGAGAGCAGGTAGACTTGAGCATTTTTCTTCCCACCGATGGCCTTCTCTCTGTTCCTAAGTAACTGACTTTAGAGTTACATAGATCTGAGTTTGGATCCTAGTTCATTGCAAACTAACTGTAACCTGGAGTCAGTCACCTGAAATCCCATTTCCTTTATCTCTAAGTGGGGAAACAGACAAGCCCATAAAGAAGAAGGTTCATAGCAGGAAGAGTGGGGGTCTTTCCATCCTTCCTCTATGCTTCTTGTTTTCATAGTTCCTCTTATTTCTTTTCTTTTTTAATAATTTATTTAACCTTTATTTTATTTGCATTGGGGTGAAGGTATCAGATCCCCTGGAACTCGAGTTACAGACAGCTGTAAGCTGCCATGTGGGTGCTGGGAATCGAACCCAGGTCCTCTGATGCTCTTAACTGCGAAGCCATCCCTCCAGCCCCTCTTATTTCTTTATCTAGTTGTTCTGTCCTTTCTCTTTAGCCATGTTTTTTTCAAGATAAGGTCTTAATATGTAGAGCAAGTTGACCTCATATCTACAATCCTGCTTAAGTTTATGGAGTGCTGGGATTATAGCTTTGTGCCACCATGCCCAGCTTTCCCATTGTCACCTTTGGGGGCCATTGTGCTTTCTCTTATTTTCTTCTTTTTACTGATTTAACATTTTTTTTTTTACTGATTATTTGGAAACCTCACATAATGTACCCTGATCACTCTCACCTCCCAGTCTAGCCTGCCCCCACCCTTTTGGTCTCCCCCCCAAAAAGATTTTTAAAACATTCAATTTGTATTGTCCACATAGTCATTGGAGCATGGTCAAACTCCCAGTGGCCAGCACCACAAAGAAAAGTGAGTCTCTCCCTACCTGCACCCCTGCCAGTAGCCATTAATTGTGGAGAGCATCCTTATTACAATTTTCAAGAGTTCTCCTTGATGGCTTCCGGTCCAGGCCGTTATCCTTCCTCAGGGGTGGGGTAGGGGTTGTCACAGAAGCCCTCCATGTATCATCTTCTCAACAGCTCTTATTGCCTTTTGAAACCTTATTTCACTACTAAGCCTTTACATACGTATGTACGTGTGTGTGTGTGTGTGTGTGTGTGTGTGTGTGTGTGTCACATGTGCATGTCTGTGTGTGAGTGCAGTCATGTATGTGCCATGGAGTGCATGTGGAAGTCAGATGACAACCTTAGGTGTTGGTCCTCATCTTCCACCTTCTTTGAGTCACATTCTTTTGTTCTTCATCCCTGTGTTCATCAGGCTAGCTGGTCCACAGGCTTCCAAGGATGCTCCTATCTCTGCCTCCATTCTGTCCATATGTATGCTGGGATTGTAGTTGTATACTGCCACACTTGGTATGTAGATTCTGGGTGATCCAAACACTGATCCTTACACTTGCATGCCAAGCACTTTTATCCACTGAGCATCTCCCAATCCCCACAAGCCTTCATCTTAACTATCCCACTACTCTAGATAGAATCCATATCTTAAAGACTCAGTATTTATTAAACAACATCATATCTCTTGAAGTGTCCATGGAGAAATAGGAACAGATTATGGACCCAAATGAGGAAGCCCGAGGCTGAATAGCTGGGCTTTCCTTGAATACCATGTAGCCCCAAACTTCAATCTGAGAGGAAATATAGGGCACCCTTTACCTGGTAGGTGCCATGGGGAGGGATGTAGTAAGCCTCTCCAGGAGCAATGAAATAGATATCTTTTTCAATTTCCTTACAGTAAAATGTGGACAGAAGGGACAGCAGGAGACGCCTGTCTTTGTCATCAGTCACTCTGCCTCCATAATTACATTCCCCTGCAAATAACAGACAGCAGAAGGAAGTTAGGTTGTCATGAACTTATGCGTTAGCTTTGAGCAGCAGTTTCTTCTAGTCAGGAAGCCCTATGGGAGCACAGGTGGTCCAAGGACATGGGGTTGCTGACACTGTACTCAGCATGGTTGGAAAAGCCTTTCATGTATTACGGTGGTTATCAAAAATAAGACACATATTCCCCATATCAAGAATTAGGAAAAGCCCAGCACTCAGGAGGCAGAGGCAGAGGCAGGTGGATCTCTGTGAGTTTGAGACCAGCCTGGTCTACAAGAGCCAGTCCCAGGACAGCCTCCAAAGCCACAGAGAAACCCTGTCTCGAAAAACAAAAAACAAAAAACAAAAACAAACAAACAAAAAAAGAATTTGGAAAAGAGTTTATCTGGAAGAAATTTATATAACCATCAAAAATTCTACCAAAGAACTATTCATGTTAAGGAATCTTCCAGACAGGTTTTTTCTTGAGTATTTAAATATGTATATTATGAAATGTAATTTAAACTTAAGACTTTGAAATGAGATAGTCATGAGTTCTAATTCCATCCTGACACTTTCCTGTGGTAATATTTTGTTTCTAATTTAACAAATAAAGCTTGCCTGAAGATCAGAAAAGCAAAGCATCCAAGTCTACAAAGGCTAAGAGCAAAGCGGGGGGGGGGGGGGGGGGGGATCCTGTCCTCTGACTGACTGCAGATTGCAATGCTCTCCACCAAATCTCAGACCACACTGAGCTTATATTCCTTATTTTCCTTCTAGTGCTGGTATTAAAGACATGTCATCCCAAGCACTGGGATCAAAGGTGTGAGCTCTGTTTCTCTTTTAGACTGATTCACTCTCATGTAGCCCAGGGAGATCCATCTGCCTCTGTCTCCTGAGTACTGGGATTAAAGGTGTGGCTACCACTGCCTGTCCTCTATGGCTAACTAGTGGTTTAGGTGTGTGTGTGTGTGTGGCTAACTAGTGGTTTAACTCTGCATTCTGATCTTCAGGAAAGCTTTATTTGTTAGATCATAAACAAAATACCACCATAGCTTTTCTAAATAAGAAGCAGTGATAACTGCAGGACTCGGTTTATAAAGCTGTGGATAAGATGAGATGGCCCTTACAAATGGATAATTTAGAAAGATGGTATCTTCTACACATTCTCAATTCTAAGCACCTCCTCCTCCTCAACATCATTCTATGGGACCTGGATTTCTGTACTCAGATTTCTATAAAAATGAATTAGATAATTCACCAGGGGTGGTGGCACAGGCCTTTGATCCCAGAACTTGGGAGGCAGAAGCAGGAGCATTTCTGAGTTCAAGGCCAGCCTGGTCTACATTATGAATTCCAAGACAGTCAGGGGTATACAGAGAGACCGTGTCTCAAAAAAATAAACATTCACATATAAGGGAACCCAGATAGGTGGGCTTATTTCCAAGTTCAACCATTTCAGGAAAGAGAAGTTAGAATCAAGTTGAAGGGGAAGGTAAGTTGCCCAAGTTAGAAGAGCCTCAGTGCCTAGGAGGTGGTCCCAGACAGGTAGTGAGGGGACTAGATGCTTATACTGAGTAAGGTGAGTCCTACAAGAGCAGCTGCACTGTGAGCCAGACCATCTGGATCTTTTCTGCGCTCTACTAATGTCCCTAGGCCTTCATCAAAGTTCAGCTGGAACACACCACAGGCAGTTTCAGCCATAAGGAGGCCTATATCAACCCTGAAACTAGATACAGCAAGAAAAAGAAAGGGAGAGTGGTCTTTGAGCCAGGTAAGGTGACATAGGTTTTTTCACTTTGGAGGCTAAGGCAGGAAGATCACATGTTCAATGTCAGCCTATACTGCATAGCAAGATCCAGTCTCATTACAAACACCCCATTCTTCTCCAGCAAACAAACAAGAATAGCATCCTCCTGGTCCCATGTTCAGTGCTGGATGTATCTGTAATCATGGCACCAGGTGCCATCAGACATCTTCATCCGTGAATTTTCTTGCATGAGATACACTTATAGGCTCTGGGTTTTATGTTGATTAATGCATGTCCAGCTCTTTATAGCTACTTTTTTTTTTTTTTTTTTTTTTTTTTTTTAGTAAGTACACAGGCTCCTAGAAGGGTTAGGATGTACCTCAGTTCTCCTCTAAATTCTTTATTGTTCTTTTGACCGAACTTACCAAATTAAGAGCAGACGTCTTCAACCCATTTCTCTTAACTGTTTTGTTAATGAAACCTGTGTATTTAGCGAATATGGCTAGCAAATTCCAATGCTCACTCATATCTGGTGCCTGGAGATTACTCTTCTTTTTTTTCATACAGGCCCATAGGAAGGCTACCTTCTTCTGGGCTCCTTGGAATTGGGTAGAGTCAGATGACAAGTTCTTGAGCCTTAATTGCTAGTGTGACAACACAAGCATATTTATCAAGATGATAGCAAAAATGCTGGTAAAGCTTTTACTGGGTGCCCTATACAAAAGACTAACAGCAGAGACTTCTGTAGATGTACGTAGGAGTGAGCAAGAAGTAGACCTTTGATGGAATTCACCCTTGAGATTTGGGGACTGTTTCCCCAGATTAGCTAGGTTGCTTATGCTTAAGAGCACAGTTGGAAAGGGGCTGTCCCCCAAGCTGGCTGAAGCAGTGAAGGCAAGTTAATTTATGACCTCTGGGCAGTGTTCTACCAAAACCATCTTCCAGGACAATTCTACATCAATTCTACGGGTGAGGAGCCCTGGGATAGCCTTCCCTGCAAAGCCCACTTCTCTGAAAAAGTTCTTTTAACCAAACTAAGATCCACTGTTTTGTCTTAGGGGCACTGAGTTAAAGTCAAGGTAGCACTGTATTACTGAACCACTCTAATGAAGGGTTCTCAAGCTTTGCACTGTCATGTCAGACTGGACAGTTCTGTGATGGAGGCTGTCCTATGGACATTATAGAATGTTTAGCAGCATCTCTGGCCTCTACTTACTGGATATGAGTAATATTTCCCCTTCATTGTGAAAAAACCAAAAACACCTCTAGATTTTGCCAAATAGCCAAAGAGGTATGGCAAAAATGCCCAGAGCGCAGTGTTACTTCTCTAAGCCTTGGTCTCCTTCACTGCAGGATGTGGTTACTGACATGGAGATTTCAGTTGGTGTAGTTGGAGCATAAGCATCAAGGGTGAGTTAGTACTTGGTGTGAGGATCTAGGCATGTGTGATCTTGAAGATGCCACAGACTTTCTAGTGAGCTATGTGTGGACCTTTGGCCATGTTACATCAGTTAATACAGCTTATTCTAGCTTCCCTCCTGGCCATGGGATTATATTCTTTGAGGACATCAAGCAAATTTTATACTTCTGATTTCTTCCATATTTCGGACTAGTATATACAGGGTGAACAGGGTACAAATTACTGAAGAATTGTTTTGATCCAAACAGCTTATTCGGTTCAAGACCCTATGTTGGAAATACTTGTCTCCCTCCCTCCCCTCCTCTCCTCTTTTCATTTGTAAATCCCCTACTGAGTCCTCACATCCAACTCTTCTTAAAGCTTCTAGAAGTTTTCCAGGATCAACGCCCCCCTCAAGATGTAATCATGGTATTGCCTTTCTGTTTTAGAAATGTTTATCTTTCTTAAAATTTTTACGAATTCTTTCTTTAAGTGCATGAATGTTCTGCCTGCATGGATGTCTATGCACCATTTGTATGCAGTGCCTGAGGAGGCCAGAAGAAGAGGGCATTAGATCCCTGGAACTGTATTACAGACAGGTGTTAGCCACCATGTGGGTGCTGGGAATCAAACCCTGGTTCTGTGGTGGCAAGGGTCCCTGGAAGCATCAAATGATCCATGTGAGGTAAGAAAGAAGTTAGCCAGTGCTGGTTTAAACTTCTGGAGTCTGACACCAAAGTCAGTTTTTTTTAGACATATTTAAATCCAGGACAGTTTTGGACAAAATTTCCTGGTAAGAATTATCCAAATCCTATGTGCACAATAAAGCTTTATGCATGAAAATTCTTGAAAAGTACATGTGACCTCTACCATGAAGATGGGTTCTATAGCTTAAGGGCCTAAGGTCTGGTATGGTCCCTGAGATAGTATAGAGGTCACCAGGCTATAAAATACATGTGTTATCTCCCCTACTGCCTGAGAAACAAATCTAAAGATAAAGGTCTGGGGAGGGAGAGTCTGGGATACATACTGGGGGATCTGGCTGAGGCCTTGCTCTACAGATGGCAAAGGTCACCAGGTCATTAACAGTATCCACTCCTAGCTTTCTGGGTGAAAAACAGGTATACATTTCCTCCATTGAGGAGACAAACCAGCTTGATTAACATTCCTGGTTTCCCCCAGTGCTTATCTTTGAGCACTGGTGCCCTTCACAGTACTGTGGAAAAACAGCCCCTCTTTTACATGTGCGTGTATGTGCACATATGTGTGAAGGCCAGAGGCCAACCTCAGGTATCATGCCTGCTCAGGCACTGTCCACCTTGTTTTATGAGGTGATGTCTCTCACTGGTCTGGCACTTGCCATTTCCACTAGGCTGCTGGCTAGCAAACTCTAACCATCTGTCTGTCTCTGCCTCTCTGGCATTGGGATTATAAGCACATGCCAAAGCACCAAACTTTTTAATGTGTGTTCTGGGTCTTTTTATGTGCAAACTCAGGTCTTCTTGTGTAGCAGGCACTTGATGGATCAGGCTATGTCTTCAGCCCCCAAACGTTTCTGTTAGTGTATTTAACACTGCATTGTCATTTGTTCATTTACATTCTCTACCCTCTCAGACTGAGCCACCTGACCATGGAAGCCTATATCTTAATTCTGGTTTTGTTTTTTATTGTACCCAACAAGACAACAAACATTAGCAAAAGATCAGTATTTTTTGAATGAATGAGGGAGGGTACCAGAAGATTAGGGCAGCAAAGCTCTGTCCATAAATACCTGTCAGGTAGGTCAGAGCTTCAAAGGGCACCTCCTTGTAATCATTGAGAAACATCTGGATCTGCCGCATGCTAATCCTCAGGTCAGACTCATTGAATTCATAGGGGATGTTCCAACCTGCAAGAGGCAGAGAAGAATTACAGGCTTTGGAGCTGAGAGTTCTTAATTTCCACTCAGAGACTGAGCACCTAAGGTAAGCATCATTGTGGATCAAGGACCTCTTTCAGCCCTGTGAGTAACCAGCACCCAGCCAACTATTTGCCTTGATTTATTGCCAACATGGCAGCCATTCTGCCCGAGAAAGCATCCATTCTAGAATCGGTTTCTTTATGGATCTCCCCGTTTGTGAAGGAAATGTTAACATCCTGGGATCTGTGAGACAGGATTTATTCAGCCTGCCTGGAAGACTGTGGTAAAGCACAGGCTTCCAAAAACAACATGGATAGCATAGCTGAGAGCAGGAGCTATGGCTGGGCGGCCAGTGGAGCTGGTCTGTAGACTTCTTCCTGCACTCATGGGAGAACTGCATGGCCAGTCTTACAGAAATTGTCACTGAACTTCTGGGGTTAATGATTTCACAGAGGAATCTTTTTTCAATTTTTAAAAGTTTTTATTTCATGTTTATGCGTGTTTTGCCTGTATGTATGTGCACCATGTGTGTGTTTGCAGAGTACAGGATTCTAGAGGTATTGGATCCCCTGGAACTGGAGTTACAGATTTGTGAGCCATCGTGAGGATGCTAGGAATTGAATTTGGGTCCTGTGCAAGAGGAACAAATGCTATGAAACATTGAACCATGTCTCCAGCCCCTTGCAAAGAAATTTAATTTCCTGCTAAACAATCATATTCAAATTAAAAATGTAACTTAACTCATATACTGGAAAAAGCATGATGGGATAGCTGGTTTTGAGACAAATCGTTGCATAGATTTCTGGAGTTCTGGTGTAAGGAGGAGGATGGGTTTGAAGGGGGAAGTAGGGGTGGAAGAGGGAGGGTGGGGTAGGAGAGGGAGAATAGGAGTGGGAAGAGGAGGATAGGGCTGTGAGGGAGAGGATGGGGTAGGAGGGGAGGATAAGAGTGGGAGGAGAGGGAGGGAGGGATGAAGAGCAAAGAGATTGGGACCAGGCTGGTGAAACCCACAGAAACAGCTGACCTGAACAAGGGGGAGCTCATGGACCCCAGACTGCTGTCTGGGAGGCCAGCATAGGACTCATCCAGACCCCTGAATGTGGATGTCAACGAGGAGGCCTCGGCACTCTATGGGGCCCCTGATAGTGGATCAGTATTTATCCCTGGTGTAAGAAGGGACTGGGAGCCCATCCCACATGGAGGATGCTCTCTCAGCCTGGACACATGGGGGAGGGCCTAGGCCCTGTCCAGGAAGATATAACAGACTTTGGGGAACCCCCCATGGAGGGCCTTACCCTTCCTGGGGAGCAGAGGGGGCATGAGGTGGGGGGCTGATGGGGGTTGGTGGAGAGGGGAGGGAGAAGGGAGAAGGAATTGACATGTGAAGCAGGCTTTTAAAGAAAAGATATTTGACTCAAAAAAAAAGAGGGGGAGGAGAAGGGTAGGGGGAGGAGTAGGAGGGGGAGGAAGTAGGAGGGGTTGATGGGGTGGGAGGAGGATGGGGTGAGGCAGAGAGTTGGGGTGGGAGGGGGAGGAGTGGAAAAGGGAGGATAGGGGCTGGAGGGCGAGGGGGATGATGGGGTAGGAGGGGAGTGGAAAGGGGGGATATGGGTTGGAGGGGAAGAGGGATTGTAGGGTAGGAGGGGGAGGAAAGGGGTGTGAAGAGATGCTGCATGAAAGGCGGGCCCAGGCTGTTCCCTCCCTTCCACTCTCAATGCACAGTCACAGGGCCTGTGGGGCTACCAGGGTTGGAGGAAGGGAATCACCCAGAGAATCCAGAGGAGTGGGTGGGACAGGACAGTAGGGGAAGGGAACTAACAAGAACAAAGCACGAGGCATGTGCATGGAGATGTCATAATGAGACCCATTATTTTCTGTGTATACTAACTTTAGAAATTACTTTTTTTAAAAAAGAAGGAAAGGAATGCAATAGCCAGAAAGAACCACCATGAGGACAGTTTCCCTCTGGATCGACCCCACAGTGGGTCCTTCCAAAGCTGTTCAGCAAGATCAAAAGCAGCCCATAGGCAAGACAGGTCATCCACCATGGAAGACAGGATGACAGCGGTTTGATAGTTTCTTAACAGGGTTGTTTAGTTACTCATTAGTTAGTTTCCATTGATAGATAAATGCATTATGATTTTTTAAAAAAGTACAAGCAAGTGCCCAGGTGTATTTCTTTCATAATTATGCACATGTAAAGACAGTTAACTTGTATGTTGTAGGTTCCCTGGTGACAACTCTCTGGGGAATGGTTATTATGCCTAAAGGAAGTATGTTCCACTCATTATCTACTTCACTATGTGGAGGTCCCCTAATTTTGGAATATCAATTTTGTGTGTGTTCATGTGTGTGCACGAGTGTGGAGCCAAGAGGTCAACCTTGGATGCTAGTCCTCAGATGCCAGCATCCATCTTACTTTTTTGAGATAGGGTCTCTTACTAGAACCTGGAGCCCCCTAGGTTGGCTGTCCAGCAGGCTCAGATCATGCAGTCCACCTCCCCAGCACAGAGAAAACAGATGCATGGCACCATGCTAGCTGTTTATGTAGACGCTGGGATAGAATTCAAGTCCTTGTGCTGCCATCTCCAAGCATCACTCATTTTTGTTTGTTTATTTCTTTTTTGCATTGACTTGGTTATCAGGTTGCCATATTTAGAGAAGAAAAAAAAAAGGGTATCAAGTGATATCCCAGTAAAATAACAATTCATACTTAGCATAAATATTTGCTAAGTCATTCCTAGAGCATGTGAATTATCTTTCTGGCCACACCATCTCAGCTAAGTCATTCCTAGAGCATGTGAATTATCTTTCTGGCCACATCATCTCAGTGCAAACCTGTAGATTCTACCTGTGGTCCATCCCCAGGTCACTTGGATATGCTGTCATTTCTCACCTAGGGCTCCATAGTTCCTCCTCTCTTGGACAATGGCGTGGAAGAAGCAAAGTCCAAACAACAGTTTTTGCCACATAATTGGCTTTGAACAGCTGTGGAAGAACACAGGGTCTGAGACGGGGTCATTGAGGTAGGAACGCAGGAGGTTGGCCCTGAGCCCTTTTGGGGGCTCGTTGGTCATTTTGATCCCATTCTGGAGAATGCTAACAGGAAACTTCTCTGATGGATAGCTAGTTAGCCAGAGTCTGGAAATACAAAAATAACCCAGCTGTTCAGAGTAATGCAATAGGTTACATTGGTAAATAATAACAAAAATAATAGCTACCATTATTAACCATTATCACAAATGACAGAATGATAAATATTTTAGACTTGGTGGGCTCACATAGTGCCTGCTCAAATGAACTAGACATAGATAGTATATAAATAATCATGGGTGTTTTAAGTAAAACTTAATGTATAGACAGTGAAATTTGATTTTCACGTGTCATTAAAATTTTATTTTTTAGGTTTTTTTCAGATATTTAAAAATTAGATGGCAAGCCATATTAGAACTGCAACAGGTTGGATTTAGCTCACAAGTCAGTCTTATGACCTGGCTTAGAATAAGACAAACCTGACAATGGAGCGGAAAATGAGTTTAAAGCCTGTCTGGTTCTAATATTCAATCTATGAATGCAACTGCTATTTCCAGTTGATGAAAACTCCATGAAGTCCAGAAATACAGATTAGAGGAGTAAGCAATGGTGCTAGATAGCAAGCGGTATTTACAACAATAATTATTTTAAAACATCTCGCTATGTCTTATCTAGTGATTGAGCATGGGCCCAAGTGCCCAGGCATAGGAGTGACTTCCCTAATGCTATGCAGGCTACATGTTCTGGGCAGTTCCCTGTGAGTGGAGGCTTATAGGCCAATGTGATTGCTGGAGGAGTTGGTCCCATGACAGAACACTGCATCTGTGTCCACAGCTATGGACCCTCAGGACTGCAGTGCAGAACTAAGGTGTCTGTGCCAGGAGGTAATAGTGGGCATTCTAAGAGGTGACCCTGAGCCTGGGTTGGCTACAGAAGGGCACCCAGGCTCTGTACCTTCACTCCAGTTCCTGCAGTCCTGGGTTGGATCTCACACTCCTACAGGAAGCCCTCTGCTCTCTAGGTGGGCTGGAGAGCAAGGGCATGCACAGAGAATCTGCTGGTATGTGAGGTAGAGAAAGCCAGCGACATTGTAAACATGACTGAAAACTGTTCAAGCTGAGTGTAAAACTTCTGCCTCAAGGCCTGTGTCAGTTCTGCCAAGCTTGAATCTATAGGCAAGCCCATCTGAGTCACTACTCCCAGCATTGTGCCTCTGTGCTGAGCTCATCACTGAGGACAGGTCTTCCTGGGTGTTCCATGGCTAAGCCTGACTGGGCCCTCTGTATATGACAGTGGCTCTCAACCTGTAGGTTTCGACCCCTTTGAGGGTCACATATCTTGCATATAAGATATTTACATTATGATTCATAACAGTAATAAAATTACAGTTATGAAGTAGCCACGAAATATTTTTATGGTTGGGGTCACCACAACATGAGGAACTGTATTAAAAGGTCACAGCATTGCGAAGGTTGAGAACCACTGGTATATGAGCTTGTCGGGACACCTGGTTTAGTCTGTCTGCTGCTGGGCACTGAGGACTGTGTAAGGGGCTCTGTGCCAGTGAGTCTGAGGCTACACATAGCATGCATTCGGGACCTGCAGGTGGTCACTGGCCAGATGCCAGGCCTCCTTTTCTTGTTGTCCAGAACCATTCCTCTGCAGCCGTTGGTGGTGAAGCTCCTCATAGGAATTTCTGCCTATGTATATAAAACCATCTCCTCAACTGAATAATGCTGACTGCAAGGCTCTTATGTGTTGATGTCTGAACCACAAGTTTCCCCCCAGAAAATAAGCCTGCACTGTCCTCTCAGCGTAGTCTAGTGGTGGTTGGACTCATTCTGGTCTCTTCTTTCGATCTCCAAGGATCATGCTGTTCTGTTCTCTCATTCTAGACCCTGTGGGATTGCTGGAGGCTTCCTAGGATTACCTTCCAGGTGTCAACTCTAATGGATGGTTGGCCTCTACACCACACAGCTCCAGGATTTTGCCTGGCCTGAAGAGTTCCTAGTTAAGCATTCTAGAGATAACTGGTTGGAGTGAAGACATGTTCACCATCTTCAGGATCCCAGGGAAGGAGTGTTGTGGGATGCTCCTCTGTGACCTTTTCACTATCCCCACCCCTTTAGTTATTGTTGGAGGGAGACAGGCCAGCTGGCTGGAGCTTGCTCAGAGCTTCTCATTTTCACCAAAATTAAGCAGGAAATTCTCTGGTAACTGTGGCCTCTCCTCTCCCAAACTGGCAGCACTCCTTTAACTCTTTCTGGCCTGTGATTTCAAATGCAGGGACCCCAACTGAGCTCCATAAAGGGTAGGGTCTTCAGGGTACAAAGTATTGTGCCATTATACCCAACATGAGGAAATATCTTGGTGAATACCACATCATGTAATTCTTTTTTGTTTGTTTTGAGATGGAGTCTCACTATATAGCTCTGGCTGACCTGGAATTCACTATGTAGACCAGGCTGTCCTGAAACTCCCACAGATACACCTGCCTCTTTCTCTCCAGTGCTGGGATTAAAGACCTGTGCCACCATGCCAGGCACACCATGTGATTCTTAAGCTGCAACATCCCCATAGCCTGCTCAGTGGTCTTTGTTTTGCAATCTCCATGGCCCAGGCATTTCATGTGCTCCCCTGGGAGAAGCCACTGTAGGTGAATTTGGGCCACACATAGAACAGGAGAGGATAAGAGTCAATCAGACTGGCCTGTGCTATGTCTGTAAGAAATTGTCTTGATTGATGATTGATATGGGAGCACCCCTTTCCACTGTGGGCTACTCCCAGGGGAGCTGGAAGCTAGGATATATAGAAAAGCTGACTGAGCATATGCCAGAGAGAACAAGCCAGTAAGCAATGGTCCTCCACATTCTCTGCTTCAGTTCTTGTCTTGATGTCTTCCTAGAGTTCCTGCCCTGGCTTTTCTCCATGGTGGATGGTTACCCAAAAATGTCAGCTGAAATAAAACTTTCCTGTCCAAGTTGCGTTTGTTCATGGTGTTTATGACAGCAACAGAAAAGCAAAGAATACTTGCCATCAAGACCAGTCTCCTATGAGCTGTCTTCGCTAGCTCAGAAGTTTCTCAAAGCAGGACTATCCCTCCCCCCTTTTTACTGTCAGCTACCAGAATGCTGTCTAGAGCTTGAGCTGGGTCCCAGGGCCTTGCCCAGATGGGGCAGCATCTCACCTGAACACTGGGTTGGTGTTCTCCGGGACAATAACCTCCTCACAGATCTTCTCCAGTGCAGGCATCCAACTTGTAGCCAGGTGGCAGTTCTGTAGAACCACCCAGCTCCCATCTTGGATGGCTCTATGGATCATTTTGGTAGCAATAGGGCCTTGGCCTTGGCCAAGGGAGATGGTCTGTATTTTGGTACCTCCCATGCCAACATCATCTGCAAACTTTAGCAGACCTGAGACCAGGAAGAAAGAGAAGTTTTTGAAAGAAGAGCCAGATAAGACCAGATTAATAGTTAGGATGCAAAAGGAGGGACACATTGACATTTTAGATTTAGAAATAAACTTATTAGCCTCTGTTAATTGCTAAATCAGTATCTTTCTTTATATCTCAGAGGCTTGCAAATGGAGCGGCAACTGACTGGCAACTGTTTGGCATTTTCTCTAAACTCATAGACTATTTGTTATTATTATTGTTGTTGTTGTTGTTGTTGTTACTACTATTATTATCATTCAGTGTTTCATGCTATGTAGTCCAGGCTAACTCAAACCTGTGATCCTTCTCCCTCAGCCTCCTAAGTTCTGAGATTACAAATATGCCCCATGAAGCCTGGCTCTAGCTTTGCACTCTTAAGGGACAGGAAGCTGGAACTGAGACTTATGTATAAAGTTAACATCCTCAATGGGCTGTGATTTCAGATTAAAAAAGGCAAAAATCTGGTTCCTAACTCATAGGAGCTATTGAACTGAAGCTGGAGTGGAAAAGTGAATAGATCTTCAGTGAGAGAAATCAAAACACCAAGTTCATTCTGCATAAGGACAAGGAACATGAATTCACAGTAGTCTTTAGCTGCAGAGTTCCTAGCTGAGAAATTTCGAATGAAACCAAATCCCTGGAGCACCAGTATCTACATGTGCAAACTTCTTCTATTTTGGGACACTGTTTTAAAAACATCATTCTTTATTGATTCTTTAAAAGTTTCACATCATGAACTCCAATCCCACTCACCTGCCAGTCCCTCCATCTCCACCCCTCACCCCTGCAGTATGTCCCCCGCAAATTAATTTAAAAATGAAACAAACAAAAACCCACCCTGTTCTGCCATCTTTCCAACACCTCTTCATTCATCATAGTGGCATCAGAAGCTACAGTTTGTCATGCAGTATACCCTTTTGTCCTATCAGCCCCACCCACAAAATTTTCATTGCAATGAGTCATGTGGGTCTGGTTCAAGGCCTCTGGCACACCGTCATTACCAAACCCCCTCTCGGATATTCTGTTGCTGCCCTGAGTCATAGAGATCCTGTGATTATTGTTTCGAAGTACAGTTCCTTTGCATGCAGGTCATAGATGGGACAAATGTTAGGGTGGGCCAACCCAAGGATCAGGATGTGGGTCTGGGTGGTAGCTGGACTGGTTGGTGTTGGCCCCTGGGACCACCCTCTCAGGCGAGGTGCAGAGCCAGCTCTCTTAGACCCATGCCATTGGGGCCAAGTCTCCCAAACCTGTGGTAAAGGGTGGGGCCATCTCTTTTGGGGACACTCTTAAAAACTCAATGAACTTTCCACAAAGTGACATAAATTTGGTTATGGAGAAGTTACTATAAAAGTATAAGCCACACTAGGAAGTCTATTGCTTATCATGATAAGAGACAGTCAGCACATAGAACCATCAGAATTAATACTCCAAGGATTAGGTATGGTCTCTGAAGTGGGCCAGATGATGCTCCCTCATCCCATACACTGAAGTGCCAATCTCAGTTTCTCAGCCAATGGGGAACTGAGGGGTCGGGGGAATATGATTAGGACTAGAAAAGCCCACCATTTTGTGGTTTTGTTTGTTTGTTTGTTTGTTTATGCTTAGTTTCTCCAGAAACAATAGAAAATATTTTTATTTTGCTACCCTGTACCTCCAGTACTTATAGTATGAAGCATTGTTTCTCACACTAGGTACAGCCAACAAAAGAAGAAGTGGACAGTAAGGTGTATGGGCAGTGGTTCTCTCAGGAGTCATGAGTATGTCTAGCACCCAGACTGTTGGTCTCTGCATACAGTTGCCTGCTGAAAGATCTGGGCTTCCTTCAAGAATTACTCCCCAAGCCAGGCATGGTGGTGTATGCATGTAATCCCAGCACTGGGACAGCTGAGATAGAACAAGTGTCAGCCTGGGCTGCATAGTGAGCTTGAGGTCAGCCTGGGCCACAGAGACTCCATCTTAAAAAAATGTTTCCAGGTCTGGGACAGAAAATGTTACATATGTGTCTAGAATGTATGGGAGTTCCAGAAGGCAAGAAGAATCATGATCTATTTGCCTTATTGGAAAAGTAGGCAGGCATGAAGGAACTCCCATAAGTCGCAGAGCGAATTTGAGCATCAGACACACAGAACAACTTAGAAAAAGAACCATGGCAGCAGTAACATTGAACACTACCACATCTGAAATGCGTAGTTACATTCTATATATTCACAATGGCACCAAAAAACAAACAAACAAACAATTCTTCCACTGATCTCATTGGAGGTTGTCAGGGCAGCGACTCAATGTCCAGACTGCTGGTAAAAGAACAGAAAGAATGGTGCATCTGTTTCACTTGCCTCGTTGAACTATATTCAGAGTAAACCTAAGAGTTGGCAGAGGGAAATTCTTCTCTAAGGAAGAGTCTCAGCTAATGGATGCAGAGGGAAGGAAAGAATTAAAATGTCACTGTGTTGCAGCCCCTAATGCAATAACACATGCTGGAAATGATTTTTAAAGTCTGCCAATGCCATTCAAGTCAGTGCTTCCCACCGTAGAATTATCCCAAATGCTTTATAAAACAGGATAGGATGCCTGGATTTTACCCTAAATATTCTAATCAAATTAGTCTAGGTCACACCAAGATTATTTTTAAAGCTCTTCATATAACTCAAGGGCAACCAAAATTGAGAGCCATTTCATGAGATGAAAGGATGATAGCAAACTTTATAAGGGAGGAGGTGATGGTTTGGACAGCTGGCTCCTATGGTCATGCCTGGCTCACAAATAGCTTGTGTAATCATGCCAGGCCCTCCAAATACATATATTTGGATATATGATACACATGAGTGTCTTGCCTGCATGTATGTATGTGTAGCACACGTGTGCCTGATATCTAAAGAAGTTAGAAGACATCAGATCCCATGGAACTGGAGTACAGATGGTTATCAACCACCATGTCAGTTCTGAGAACCAAACCCATGTCCTCTGCAAGAAGAGTAAATGCTCTTAATGGTGGAGTCATCTCTTTACCGCCACTACCAATAATTTCAATGAGGAAAGGGAAGACAACCAGACAGCAGGTACCAGCCTGTCCTCTACCTGCAAAACATCACCCACCAGACTCATTCAGCACCACTGTCATCATCAGATCATCCTTAGACCTCTGTCCTATTTTTCTGTTTTATTTTTCTTGGCTGTACTAGTTCTCTTTATAAAAATTGACACATAAAGGACTTTTGAGATAATTGGAGTCATCCTATAATGGATCTACACCACAGGCTAACACATAAACAGCCTAGTACCAGTAATGGATTACCTCTTTGGGAGTTATTGGTCAGTGAGGTCCCACAGACCCCCAAACACTACAGGCTGCCAATGCTACTGTGTACCCTCCAGAATTCGACATCAAGAACCCTATTTACTCGGGCTGGAGGGATGGCTCAGAGGTTAAGAGCACTGGCTGGTCTTCCAGAGGTCCTGAGTTCAATTCCCAGCAGCCACATGGTGGCTCACAACCATCCATTATGAGATCTGGTGCCCTCTTCTGGTGTGCAGATATACATGGAAGCAGAATGTTGCATACATAATAAATAAATAAAATCTTTTAAAAAAGAACCCTATTTCTCAAATCATCACCCACTTGAGTCACAAAACATGGGAAAATCAAGCTAGTACTTACCTGGAAGCTTCTTTCTTGCTGACTAGCTTTAGTAGTGCTGGACAGTGGTATTTGTGATCCCTGGGGTGGTGGTGGTTAGTAACAATAATCTTACCCAGCTGTAAACTTTGCAAGGGTCAATACAGACTGGACTGACAAGGCAGGCCTATCGGGTCACAAGTGACACAAATATTATGGGAGTAACTAACTTAAAAAATGGGAACTTAAAAAACGGGATTTAAGTTCCACTCCACAAATAAAACCCATACCTTGCATCGTTGTCAGGCTATGAAAAGATCATGGATTCTAAGGGAGAACCCATTACTATTATTTTTGCTAAATAGACACAGTATTAAACTGACTCTTAATGATTTATCATTACACCCATAGATGAGTGCATTTCTCAACTCTCATCAGAGAAACTTCCTTTTGAAGTAGATGGTGATTGACACAGAGACAACCAGTCAAAGAGCAGAGAATAAAAGACTGTAGAGTACTCACCCCTAAATGGAGATCTACATCACATCCCCTCCGTTCCAGGGTCAGGGACCATTTTGGAAGCAATGTCAGAAACGATTGTAAGAGCCAGAGGTGGTAGACGACTACAAGGAAATAGTGCTTTCTAGACATAGCAGGGCAGTGGCACACACGAACTCAAAAACAGTTGTTATGGCATGTACAAGAACTCTGCAAGCTCAAGCCAGATAAAATCTCAGCATGGAGAGTAGAGGTAGGCATGAAGTCTCACCCATAACTAGGGAGCCATTGACAACTAACTGGTAGTTTCTGGGAGAGAAAGAGTCAGTTTTCTTTATGAGTGTAGCCAGTAATAAGTCAATCCCTCTTTAATGAAAGGCCACACATCCAAGAGTATATGGAGGGCTCAAGTTGGACTTGATAGGTTTATTTAAAAAGAAAGATAAGGCACAAAGTTGGGTGAGTAGGTTCTGAGAGGAATAAATATTATCAAAACACATAGCATGAAATTCCCCAAAAAAAGGAAAGAAAAGAAGAAAGACTTAAGTGATGAAGGCAAAGATGTTAGAAAGGGATTGTGTTGTTCCTTGATGTGAATGTTTGGTCTCCATAGGAACCTGAAACCAACTCACTTCCCTCCTCTGTATTCCTTCCAGGGTCGGGTGTGCTAAGCTTTTCCTTTTCAAGGGCACATGCAAAACTCCCCAGCAAACATCTATTTTGTCACTTGCATCCTTTGTACTATTTCTTCATTCGGTAACAGAGAAAACAGGAGTGTGAAAATCTGACAGGAGAGAAAGCAGCTTAGTTCCTGTCAGCAGCCCGAACCGACCCACTTACAACAAATTGCTAACAGGAGTTCACTCTGAGGAGCTAAAGTGGGAAGATGGGCCTTAGACTCCACACCAGGCTTCTGGAACCTCAGCATGACTGACATCCTAGGCCATGACACCTTCTGTTGTAAGGAATGACCCATGCATGCACTGTAGGGAGTTGAACAGCATCCTTGGTCTCTTGATACAACATCCTGCATCTTAGCTCTTTCTAGACATAGCAGAAAAATGTCACCATACCTTGTCAAATGTGCCTGGGGGAAGTGAAATCCTATCCCTGTTGAATCACAATCTTATATCTTGCTGATTTTTAAAAACTATTTACAGTGTTACTATTCATTTTTTAAATTAAAGATGCAATAGAGAAAATAGTTCAAGATAAAGATGATGAATTCAGAGCTAATGTAATCCTGAGCTTGACCCTAAATTACATTAAAAATAAAATTGTCTGCCTCTCTGTCGTCACCCCCCCTTACCCTGGTGTGTGTGTGTGTGTGTGTGTGTGTGTGTGTGTGTGTGTGTACACAGAGGTCAGAGGACAACCAGAGGTTCACACTCCGCCCTGTTTCAGACTGTGTTGTTCACCAGTTTATTCTAGTCTAGTAAGCCTCTGAGCATTCTCCCATTTCTTCATTGGAGCACTGAATTACAGACACACAATGTACTGTCCAGCTTTACAACAGGTTCAATTCCTCATGCATGCCTGGCAAGTGCTCTAGCCACTGAGATATTTCCACAACCCACCCTTCATTGCATTTTAAGGAAAATTTAAGAGTTATTAACATTTAAGACTGGTTAAGTTTTCCATCCCTGGATTCTTTAAAGAATCAGATGATCTTTTCCTTGTCCTGGGTTCATATTCCCAGATGTCATGATTCCTGGGTGCTGAGGAGTGGCTATTTCCCTTAAGAGGGAAATGAAGTTTTCACTTGCCTTATTCAGTCTAATGCTTTGCTTGAGCCAGGCCTTGTGACAGATGTCTGTAATCCCAGTACTTTCAAGTCTAAGGCAGGAGGATTATTAGTTCAAGGCCAGCCTGGGCTAAATATTAAGACAAAAAAGGGACTGTGTATAGGGAGGAAGGAAAGAAGGAAGAAAAGAAGGGTGGGATACCACAGTTAGTTGTTTTTCAACTCAAGGCCAGCTAAGTTTGAGACACCTGCTGTCAACCACCACAGTTTGGGCATCCAGTATTTTTCATACATGTACTACCCTTACCTGCCATTGGGTCTGCACCTGGAGACAGTATGAAAATCAGTGGTGCACAACTACTGGAATCATTGTAGGATCCCTGGAGATCAAAGGTCGGGGCTTCGATGAATGTCTTTCCCATGTTTTCAATAATGAAGTCCTGAATAGCTGGGACCATCTTGTCAGGCCGCAAACACCGTAGGATCACCATCCTTTCCAGTGTTTGAAGGTACTTCCAAGGTGAAGGGAGTACCTCCTCTTGGGGCCAGGCTGAGTCATAGATTTTCTTCCATTCGGTAATATTTTCTACCATATCTTCCATCAAACCTTTCAGTTTAGGTAAGTAAGAGGCTCGAACAACTTCACCCCATGACTTCTCTGATAACCATTCAGGAGCTGGGTTGGGGAAGGGGTTATCCAGGGCCACACCTCCAGTTAGAAGGAAGTACCAAACCTCCTCGTTGATGGCCTTTTTTTCCTTCAAGAGGCCAATGGTCAGGAGGAGGGAGAAAAGTAGCTTGTCCTTCTCAAACAGGGAACGGCACACGTTGTTGTAGATGCTCAGGGTAAAATGTTCAATGATGTACTCGATGCGTAGATCCAGCTCGTCACTCTTGCTGCTGTTGGCTAGGGAAAGCACGTAGAGGTTGATGAACCATGTCAGAGAGTACTGGTACATAGGCTCGATATGGGCCAGGTCAGAGATACAGAAGAAGATGGTGGCAGAGTGAATAGCCACAGGCTTGTAGCCCAACCGGGTCTGATCAATTTGTGTTTCTGTCACGGAGGCTATTTTCTGCTTCTCAGAGATTTCCTCAGACAGCACTTTAGAAGAGGACAAAACCTTGATGGCAGTCTCATCTTCTAGGATGTTGCCCTCGGACAGGGAGAGGACCTCTAGAATCTTATCTTCAATTTCCTTTAGCTGCTTCTTATTCTCAGCACTTTCTAAAATCAACTCGTTCTTTTTCTCTTCTAGTTCTGGCTTCTCCTTGGCAGCCACAATACCAAGGAGCTGATCTTGGAGACCCAAGGGGGTGATCATGAAGTTGAGGAGACAGACTTTCACAGCAACTTCAGGGAGATAATGTGGATTCCTCAGGCGCGTGGTTATGTAGAACTTAAAATCCCTTGAGTATTCAATGATGTTTTCACCTAATCTCATATACTCAACACCTTGCTGTCTGAATGTTGCCTTGAGCAAGATGGGTTCAATGAAGGCATCCAGCTCTTCTCCAACGTTTTCCAGTAAAACAGGGGTGCCGAACTGCAAGGCGTTTTCCAGAGTCCTCACGTAGTTGGTATCAGAGAACTTGATGACAGACAGCTTGTTTGTTTTTTCCATGTTCTTCACCCACTTATTGGCCTGTCCCTGAGGGTCAATCATTAAAGGCCAACGTCTGGAGTTGGACACAATGATGCCATTGTCAACAGAGAAGGAGTCAACAGGAAGCCCAGCTATCTGCCAAGCACGGATTTTTATGGGATCCCCTAAGGTGTGGCTCAGGCTGAAGTCAGCAGAGCCTGGAATGACCTTCTCTTTACAGGTTTCCAACCATTCATTCTGGCATTGGGCCCGATAATCCACTGTGAAGGCACCCAGGTAAGCCACAGTCCCAGAGGATAACAACACATCCCCTGTCAGGTAATTATATCGGATTCCCAGCTGCCGGGCAGCTTCTGTCCATCTGTCCCTCTCTCCACCAAGACCACTGATGAGCTTCTCTGCCCTGACCAGCTTCTGGGAGCAGACATCAATATTTCCCTCCAGCATCTTTTTCTTGACATTCATCTCTTCAAACTCATCATTCAGAGCCTGGAGTCTGTCCTCCACCAGCTTCAGTTCTGCCCGTTTAAGGTTCAGCTTGTGCATCTGTATTTCCAGCTTCCCTTCAGCCTCCCTCAGTCGCTCCCTTTTGGGAGCCACCACCTTGGCCACTCGTTCATACACTTCCATGGCCCTCACCCACTTGCACAGGCCCTCACAGGCAGATGATACGTTTTTAATGACAGATGGCTGGAAATCAGGGTGATCAATGAACCTTTCCCGGATTCGCTTCATGATCACCGAGGGGATGTTGTCTTTGTCGTATGTCTTAAGACTTTCCAAGAACTTTAGATCTCCAAGGACCTTTCTTGACACTCCCCAGTAATCTTCTATCATCTTACCTGTTCATCATAGGAAACAACGTATTGAGACATTTTGGTTGAGATGTAAAATTCTACAGTAGCTGCTCATTAAATCCAGGGGGTGAGGATAGGGTGGGGATTCTAAGCTCCTTGTCAGGGAAACCCAGGAAATATCTTTCTCATCTGTACTTAGTTCCCTGGATTTGGGTCTTGAAGGATTTTTCCTTCAGTTCCTTCATAATCTCAAGTTCTTTCCCATGATCCCTTTGCCTATGCTATAAGTGACAACTAGTTGAGACCAGACCAGACGTCTTCATGCCCTGTTGACTGATCATCCATCCATCCATCCATCCATCCATCCATCCATCCAAAGAGTCAATACGTGAGCCCAGGCTGGTCTTGAATTTGTTTGTAATCTTCCTGCCTCAGCCTACTGGGTGCTGGGATATGAGCTGGACGAATGTCACTTCTGATTCCTTCATCACTGGAGAGGATCAGAGAAGCCACACCCATGGGCCTATGTTTATTTCCAAGTTGGGGAGGCAGGTTGGGTAAAACATAGTTCTCCTGCAATGGACAGTGTGAGTAAGTAAGGAAGTAGTCTTAGAGAAGGAGCTTGCTGGCTTTACATCAGAACAGGAATCCTAAACACCCTTCCAGCCAACAGCTAACCAAGTGTTTTTCAATCCTACCCTGAGACCATGCTCCATTGGCTGACATGTTGGGAAAAAAGTTGAGAGCTTCTTTGATTTATAACATATACTAAGCTGGGACTCTTGACAAGAGCCATATTTGAGACATAATCTGGAGTATAATGTAACTATCCCTAAGTACAAACATAGCAAATATTTCCTGTGGAGGACTTGGTTTGCATTTGGGAAAATTATCTGCTCCATTTAAATTCAAGGTACTCAAAGCCAACTCAACTGCTCTATTGTTCCAAGGGCTTGGCGAATAATCCACACATTTTAATGATGGGTTCTGAGATGATAATTGGAGACCCCTGGTAAGCACTGGCATTTATAACCAGGACATGTTCTATCTCATTGGGTTTCAACCCAGCCTATACCTTAGAAGCACCTGGAGAACTTTAAAAAGTGCTTGGGTCCAGGTTACACCCAAGACTAATAAGACAAATGTCTTTAGAAGTGGGATATGGTTTTAGCATGCATTAAGCTCTCCTTGTGACTCTGTACCTCAGAAGCAGCTCTAAAGGCTTCTCCAGAGTCAACTTCTGATGCTGGGGAGACTGCCCAGTGGATAGAGTGCTTGCTAAATAAACAGAAAGATGAGTTCAGGTTGTTGCCCTCATGCAAAATGTGGGCATGGCAGCAGGTGCCAGTAATCCTAATGCTGAAAGTATGGAGACAGGAAGATTCTGGGAACTCAGCGACCACCCAGTCCAGCCTAGTCAGCAAGCCCCAGGTTCAGTGAGAGACCTGGTCTCAAATAAGATGGAGAAAAAACAGCAGAGGGAAATACCTTAAGTTGGCTCTGGCTTTCACAAGTGCATACAAAAGAGAGTCCATTTGCATGCTGTGAGCACAGACACACACACACACACACACACACACACACACACACACAGTCCACTCCTGCTTTGCTGTTTCTTATAATTTATATCTTCTTCAAGCAAATATTGCCCTGAAGCCAGCCAGACAAGAAGGGATGCTAAGCAAAGGGAAGCTGGGCCCAAAAGTTGTCCAAGGAAGGGCTAGGGATTTCTAGCATTCAGAAGGAATGAAGGTTAGCAGGGTTCCTCCAGGACAGGACAGCTCAAAGTGCAGGCAGTTTTGAAAGTTCATGTACAGTTTTAAGGCACTACTTGTAACATACAATCCTACATTGGAAACTCCTTGCTCTCTTTTGAGAAAGTCTCATTATGTAGCCCAGGCTGGCCTCAAACACCCAGTCCTCCTCAGTGCAGTGCTGGGATTATAGACGTAAGCCTGGCCCTCACGTCTGCCTCTCAGTTTCTTTCTTCCACCCTTTTGTTATTGTTTTCACTCAATTTCTCTATCTCTGAGCCCTTCTCTAACTTTCTAATTAACGTTTCTTCCCTACCTTAACCAGTGTGTGTGTGTGTGTGTGTGTGTGTGTGTGTGTGTGTGTGTGTGTGTGTTCTTCTGTCTATCTCCCTTCTTTCTCCCCACTCACCCTTTCTGTGTCTCTGTGGCCACATGTATGGCTCTATTTCTTGATCTCCATTTCTCTCTACCTTCAGTACTTTTGCCTCAATTTTTCTGTTTCTTTTTTCCCCCAGGACACCTCCTACCTTTCTGCATACCCCCCTTTCCTTCTTCCTCTCCCTTTCCCTTCCCTGCCTGTTTTCCTGCCTCTGTCCTCATCCCCCTGTGGTCACAAGTTTGACAATTCAAATATGTATGTATGTTCATGAGTGAGCATGTCTTAAACGTAAATGTCTGGGTCTGTATCTCTTCTCTCTTCCCTCCTTCCATTCTGTGTGTGTTCTGTTCTCATTCTCTCAGTTTCCTACTTTCTTCTTGTATGTGCTCATGAGCCACCTGACCTCCATTTTTGTCGTGACCTGCAATCTGAGGCCTCGATGATGTTCATTAGCACATACAGATATCTGAATTTTCTCAACTGACTAAGTGGCTAAAGACTGGTCAAGAAACATTCATAAGTGAGCCAGAGAGGTGGCTCACTCAGCAAAATGCTTGCTGCACAAGCAAGGGTGGCAGTACACCCTGTAGTACTACATTCAGCCGAGGAAGCACATATGGACAGGAGGATTCCTGGAGCTTTCTGGCCTGCCAGTCTATCTGAGGTGGCAAGCTCTAGGCTCAGTGAGATCCTGTCTCAAAAAATAAGATGGAGAATGGATCAAAGACACCCAGTGTAAACACCTGGCTTACACACACACACACACACACACACACACACACACACACACATACACACATGAAGCATCACTAAGCTCTTTAAACATATATTCTCGTGCTGATACTTCCAAATTCCTCTAAAACCCAAGGAGTCCAGAACAATATGGCTTGGAGTGGGAGTGGTTACCGGAGCCACTAGGGTCTGGCTTCCTCTCTGGCTTCAGCCCCTTCATGACGCAAATGCTCTCCATCACCAGTTTGACAGGGCCTGGTGGATTCTGCATGGACTTCACCAGAGTGATGTCAGTCGGGTTCAGGGTGTCAAGGGCAGCGAGCGCAGCCTCCAGTGCTGGCATGGCCTCAGCCAGGTCCCCCTCACATTCATTCTGTAGAGAACAGGGACAAAAAGAATGGTGTTCAGTGCCTGGTACACAGGGCAGACGGGTCCTCTGTGACCAGATGCCCTTAAGGGTCAGGGCTTCCCCCTGGGGGTTCGGTTCTGGAAGACCTGATATTCAGCAGCAACAGGAGTTGGAGTCTGGCTTTTCTTTGCTGCAATGTGGATGTCCTGGACATTTAAGAACCTACTTTGCTTGTGACCCTAAAAAATGAGGCATTGCTCAAATCGGGGCAATAAGTAGTTATTTCAGATCTTTACAAATATTATATTTCCATGTGATGCCATATGTTTAACTTCTAGACATTGTGAAATGTATACAAATTATTTTAAACTATGGTTACCTTTCTATACTGTATAGCATTAGAATAAATTCTTCCTATTGGACTCTATTTAGTACCAAGGATCTAATTTGTTAAAAAAGGATTTTTTTTTTTTTGCACACTCACATTTGTGGGTATACATACTTACCACGGGATGCATGTGGAGGTCAATGACAACCTCTGGGGTCAGTTATCATTTTCCACCTTGTTTGAGCAAGGTCTCCTATAGTTCATCTGCCCCTGAACTTCTGGGGATCCTCCTGTCTCTGATTTCCCTTATGCCACTAGAATGCCAGGAGTGCTCCTGCATCCGACTTTACTGCAGCCTTGGGAGATTTTATTCTTCTTGTTGTTTTGTTTGCAAAAAAAGACAAAAAGACTCCTTCCTAAGTATTCAAATTGAACATACCTAGAATGTTTATGGGTCTTGTTATTTAGTTTGATTTTTATGTTTTCCAGTGTTGGGGACTGAGTTCAAATAATCAGTCTGCCACCACGCTACCCCCTGACACATTATTTTGTCAATGGCTACTACCTCGTTAGCACTCCCAATCTGCATCCATCACATTCATTTTAAACCTACAATTTGTCTCTGCAAAAAATTAATCAGTGGTTTTGAACAAATTCTCCAGAGATAGGAGGTGTCTTCCGATCTACTGGTCAGGATGGGCTGAGAAACAGGGAACAGACTTAGGGTAAACAAAGGGAAGAAATGAGGTAGGAGGGGTAGGAGGTCAGGCATGAGGGTCTGGAATGTGCTGCAGATCCTCAGATAGGCTATGGTGGAGTCAGGGATAGAGTAAAGCCTGGAGACAGGATAGACTGCTAGGCAAGCTAAGGATGGAAAATGGAGATGGCAGTTACAGCTACAACAGAGCTGGAGACAGGGTTGGGTCAGGAAAATGGGACAGTGTATGCTTTAGTCATTGGTTGATAAATTTTATCTATTCATTAACCCTATCTGGCTTTTACTATTTGTTAATTTTGTTTTGCATTCCTCTCTGTCTCTCTCTGTCTGTCTCTGCCTCTCTCTGCCTGTCTCTGTCTCTGTCTCTGTCTCTGTCTCTGTCTCTGTCTCTCTCTCTGTCTCTGTCTCTGTCTCTGTCTCTGTCTCTGTCTCTGTCTCTGTCTCTGTCTCTGTCTCTGTCTCTGTCTCTGTCTCTGTCTCTGTCTCTGTCTCTGTCTCTGTCTCTGTCTCT